TGAAATCTGATATATGCGTGATTGTACAATAATTTCTTACTTTTGTGAAAACACAGTTTGGAACAACAGTTAAAACAGTAAGAACAAATAATGGCACATAATTTGTTAATTCAGTTTGTGAGAATTTCTTTAAGAATCTAGGAGTGATTCATCAAAATACATGTCCTTATACTCCTCAGCAAAATGGAGTAGCTGAGAGAAAGCATAGACATATCCTAGAACTCACTAGAGCTATCAGATTTCAAGCTAATATACCTATCAAATTCTAGGAATATTGTGTTCTTGCTGCAGTATATATCATTAACAGGCTGCCTAGTTCTGTCATTGAAAATAAAAGTCCATATGAAAGGATATCTAATAGAAAACCTACATTACAACATCTTAAGGTTATAGGTTGTTTATGCTATGCAAAAATAGTTAATCAAAGTGATAAACTAATGCCTAGAGCAAAACCTTCTATACACATGGGATATGCTACAGCCCAAAAAAGGTATGTGTTATATGATTTAATAGATAAAAGGTTCTTTGTAAGCAAGGATGTTCAGTTTAGAGAAGATATATTTCCTTTTAGAAACAAACAAGACAACAACAGATCTTTATTTGTTCATCCAAACATAACAGGCTTATTTTTACATACCATAGATCCAATAACACAAACTACAACTTTAGAAAATAACATGTATCCAAATCAACAAGAAGATACTGTCATACCAGAAGTTACACAAGAGTACACACAACACTATGAGTCTATTCCTACAGAATCTGTTCAGACTAACAATCAACAAATATCAGTTATACAACAAACAGATCAAATCTCACAATCAGCTCCTATTCAATCAAATATCAGAAAGTCAGGTAGAGGAAAGAAACCACCTATATGGATGAAAGATTTTGTGTCATTAACTGCCCAACAGAATGAACCTTATGCAATATTAAAATTCATAACCTATGAACAGTTAACTCCTAAATATCAAGCCTACTTGACAGCAGCTTCAAATGTTAGTGAACCAACTCTATATTCTGAAGTTGTAAAGGACCCTAAATGGACAGATGCAATGAAAGCAGAGATTGAAGCTCTACAAAACAATCACACATGGGACATAGTAACTCTGCCCACTGGTAAAACCCCTATAAGATGCAAGTGGATTTACAAGATCAAATATATGGCTTCTGGTGAAATATCAAGGTTTAACGCTAGGTTAGTAGCTAAAGGGTTCAGTCAAAAGGAGGGGATAGATTATCAAGAAACTTTTTCTCTAGTCATAAAAATGAAAACTGTAAGGACTATATTAGCTATAGCTGCTACAAGACACTGGCATATACATCAAATGGATGTATATAATACTTTCTTGCAGGGAGATTTACTAAATGAGATATACATGGAACTACCCCAAGGATTCACAAGTCAGGGGGAGAATAAAGTATGCAGACTTGTGAAATCTCTATATGGGTTGAAACAAGCTCTAGACAATAGAATGCCAAACTGACAGAAGCACTTCTGAAGTCTCAATTTCAGTAAAGCCAACATGATCAGTCTTTGTTTTTTAAGAAAACTGCAAAAGGTATCACAATGGTGTTAATCTATGTAGATGATATGCTTGTGATTGGTGACTCTCTGAAACTAATAGAGGAAACAAAAGCACATCTGCAACAGTCTTTCAAAATGAAAGACCTAGGGGAATTGAAGTACTTTCTAGGTATAGAATTTGCTAGATCAGAACAAGGGATTCTTATGCACCAAAGGAAGTATGCACTGGAACTGATTTTTGAGACAGGAGTTGCAGCTGCCAAACCATCAATAACACCTCTTGATGCAAATATGAAGCTTACAACTACAGAGTATGATGAACATCTCAGGAAAAACAAGTCTACTGTCTTGATGAATGAAGAACTGGCAAATTTGACTTCCTATCAAAGACTGATAGGCAAACTCTTTTATTTAACAATGATAAGGCCATATATCTCATTTAGTGTTCAAACACTAAGTCAATTCCTCCAAAGACCAAAGAAGTCTCACATGGAAGCAGCTCTAAGAATTGTCAAAATATATCAAAAACAGTCCAGGACAAGGAATACTACTTTCCAGCAAATTTAACAATACTATCTCAGCATACTGTGATGCAGACTGGGCGGCTTGTCCTTTTTCAAGAAAGTCTGTTTCAGGTTATCTAGTTAAGTTTGGAGACTCTCTAATATCGTGGAAATCCAAAAAGCAAACTACTGTTTCTAGAAGCTCAGCAGAAGCTGAGTATAGAAGTCTTGCAATAACTGTAGCAGAACTTATTTGGTTAATTGGATTGGTAAAAGAAGTGGGAGTTGATATCAAGCTACCAGTTGAAGTGTTTAGTGATAGCAAAGCTGCGATTCAGATTGCAGTAAATCCAGTTTATCACAAAAGAACAAAGCACATCGAGATCGACTGTCATTTTATCATCAGAGAAAAAATTGTACAAGGGCTTATCAAAACAACATACATATCTAACAAAGAGCAACCAGCAGATATGCTAACCAAAGGTCTCAACAAGGCGCAACATGAATATCTTTCTTCCAAGCTAGGTGTTCTTAATGTATTTTCAGTACCTAGCTTGAGGGGGGTGTAGAGAAAGATATCACATAATCAAGAAAGGGCAATTTAGTAATTTCATATAAGTTATTTTGTTAGTTATTAACACTAATCCTAGAGTTAGTTAGTTTGTTAATAACGGCTAATCCTAGTTTGTTAGAGTTAGCTTTAGTAAAGTACAATTAGTCTACACATATATATATATATATATATATACTCCAACTATGTAGAAATCAATCAGATGAAATCCAGACTTTACTTCACATCTTTAACCTTTACATAACTGTATTAATTTTGATCATGTTTCCGTTCCTTTTCTGTTTGAAGCCACAGTTTCAGTGATACTGATATACTATAACATTTGCTAACTTCGATGAACAAGGAAAGTTGAATTAGTCAATCTTCCCTTACAGGTAAATTCTGAGTAATGCGCCATATACATCACATAGCTTGGACAGAGATATGGTCTCATTATGAGTATGGCCCTCAGAAACGTCAAAGAGTACGTTATCTACACTCTGTATGGTCGGTCAATATTCCCTTTGGAAATGTATTTCTTATGTTGTATTAATTCGTGAAAACTTTTGGATTGCTAATCAGGCATCTAATATAACTCTAGGTTCTGAGGGTTCGAGTTTGGTACCTAACATGTGCAAATAAAATGAATCTTGGATTTAACTCTAACCTCAAAAGTTTGCTCATGAGCTGAGGATTGTCTAAGACCTTACAAGGAGATAACATATTATTTCCTAAACGAATTTGGGGCACTTTGCCAATACACCCAGAGATGGGTAGACCAAGAATTGGGGTAGGTCTATAGCTCTAATACCATGTAAATAAAATAGACCTTAGGTCTAACTCAACCGTAAACCGAGTTCTATGATTTGAAGATTTCCCAGGACCAAATAAGGAGATTAACTCATTTGCTTAACCAATGTGATTTACTTCACAATATTAATTGGATTGTCCTAAAATGTGAAGGTTAAGGTTGTGAGGTTACCACTTGCTTTGTGTATAAGATATGATAATCCCTTCATAGAAGGCCCACTAGTAAGGTTATTTGAGTGTGTGTAGGGTCCTCGACAAATAGAATCTCTCAAAAGGAGTATAGTATAACTAGGCTTATCAAAAATTTATAGTGCACCCAGGGTGTTTGAAGAATGTTGAATACCTCTTAAAATTCCATAGACTATGCATGCTCCTCTTGTGTGTATCTTTCTTCAAAGAAAATATGACAGCTCTAAATCCACAGAAATGAAAATGACAAAGAAAGACTAGGCTTAAGGGAGGACTTCAGATAAATGAAAGTGGATAGAAATTTCCAAACAACTTATTATATGATCATAATGTATGTTGCTGTTTTTTAAATCTCTATCATAGTGACCGAAGGCTGCATCTTTTATGCTCACTCTTGCAGATTGCTTCATTCCTCCACTACTTGTCTGATGTGGAAGAAGGTGGAGAAACCACGTTTCCATTTGTCGTAAGACAAGATATGAGTTAATTAATTTGTTGTACTAGTTGCACGTAAATCCTGAGAATTTGTAAGTATAAGGAAAAGGAAGCGAAGAAAGCAGGGGAAAAAATCTAAAGAGATGATACAAGAGAAGAGCGGCTGAAGTAAAAGAAAAGTGTATTCATCGTCTATACCATTTACTTGACAGTGACAACTTGTATTTTGCTGCAGAAATGGCTCAAATATGGGCATAGATTATGATTAAGCCGCATGCATTAAGCTAAGCGACGCCAAGGAGATGGACTTGTGTGATTTATTCAAATGGAAGAAGTGATAAGGTAAGATCTCCTGTCATCATATATATAAGCTTAATTTCCTGCTTCTATGCTGTTTGGTTCACCTGATTGCGTCCTTTATTACATGCTTGCAATGAGAATTAAATTATACTCCAATCAGGATAGGAAATGGAGTTCTTTACTTTAGCTCAATTCCAATCCCATGATGCATCATTCATTAGGCATGCAACACATTTAAATCCTAAAAAGAAATAGGCAAGCATCAGCTTTCAGTAATGAATTCATGCAATAGGCAACTGGCAGCAATCAACAGACAAAGTTTCTGAAATTTTAGTTGTTGGTTTTGTTGCATTTCTCTAAGGAAGGCAAAGAATTCAATACCAGTTTGATAGATCTATATTCATTCTTAATCCATTCCCAAATCCCGATGGATTGCCCACCAAAATGAAATCCTTATTTTCTATACTTGATCCATTTCTCTCGAAACTGTGAATTTGATAGTCCCTTTTTTTTCAAATAATAGATGAGGAGGAATGTCAAAGTCTCATTGATCACCCGGAAGGAACCTTTTCAATTTCTCCTATAGTATTGCACATGCAGAGAGCGACACATACACACATATAAAAGAGCATTCAGAGCTAAAAAGTTTAAGATTGACCGATACGGATAATTTTCTTAAACCAAGTTGGAAGAAGAAGAAAGATGACAGGAGTTGGTATTAATAAGTTATATAGTGTTTCACATCAGGTACAACAGCATTCCTCCCGTAGTGTCTCATTCCATTTATAGCATATATTTTCTAGCTTGAACTATGTTAATACAAATCGCAAAAAGGGGGCCCGGGGTAATGAGCTCCAGGTACGCACGGGTTCCAGAAAAAGGGCCAGACCCATATTTAATCTAGGAATTTTATGCAGCCTTACCTTGTATTTCTCCCCTGACCTACTAGTCACCCGACGACAACTCTTGCTGTTGCGCCAAGGCTCTCGTTCCTTCTGGTATAAAATGTACAAAAAATATGAAAGTATCTTCTAATCCAATGTTAACATTTCTTGTGACAAGGTTTCAGAATCCTGTACTTTTGTAGAGTGTCCGAGTAGGCTAAGAGATGCATCATCATCAACAACCTGATCAAGTTCAGTAGCTGCTGATTGGTCCTCAAGAATATCGTTAGAATGTCCTAATGGTTCATCTGTACTAATAAAATGGCACCATTTTTTCTCCTTTGCATGAAGTATGGCAGGATACAAGAATAACCCCAGAATAATGACTGAGCCACTTACGATATACGTCTTTAACGAAGCCAAATACATGACAAAAATAAGCAACAAAGCAGGTGGAAGGCAAATCGCCGTTGCTCCAACTGTTTGAAAGGGAACCTTATAAGGTCTGTGAAGATCAGGCTTCATTATCCTTAATTTTATGAAGGCTGCAAACTCGAGAAGCATTCCTACTGAATAGAGGAAGTTAAGAAATTCCAAGATTTCTTGAAAACTCATCCATGACAGAACGATCACGCCCGTTGCAGAGCATAAGATGCTGATAGTGGGTGTCCCATATTTTGATCTGCAAGATTTGAAGTATAGTGACTTGTCTTATGATAATAGACTCAGAATGCCAAAAAGGCCAATCTGTAAATTTGTCTTCTCCCTCTTTTGGATGATACTCGAATAACAAGTTAAGAGTTGTTTTCATCTTTGATCATACTGCATATTTCCTAACCAGATCAATGTACTAGAATTCCATCAACTGGGACACGCTAAGATTCACACCAAGATTCCCTACTTTTAATCATCTCAGTTAAATAAATATCCAAGAACCTAAGATGAAGGTAATTTTACTTTATATTTCCTCTTTTAGTGGAGCATCTGAAGCTCTAATATCAATAGATCAACAACAACAACCCAGTAAAATTTTACTAGTGGGGTCTGGGGAGGGTAGTGTGTATTCAGACCTTACCCCTACCCCGAAGGAGTAGAGAAGCTGTTTCCGAAAGACCCTCGGCTCAAGAAAACAAAAAGACAAAAGAAGACAATATTAGTATCACCACAGAAATCATAGGAAAAATAGGAACAACATGAAATCCAGAAGAAAGATGCAAAGCAAGAGCGATAGCTAGCAAATAGGTCATGCACTGAAAAGCGAAATAGTAAGACACAACGTTGCCACTAGCTTGCTATCTTAGACAAAAACCCTACCAGACTAGTCTTACAAAGGTACGAAGTAAAGCAAGACTCAACTAACTCCTAACCTACAACCCTAATACTCGACCTAATATCAATAGGTCATGCCAGGAAAAGCTCTACGTTGTAATTTACAAATGCTTACTATTAGAAACATCATAAAAGAATAAAGAGGGAAATTACTCAAACCTCGAAGCAAATATAGAAGGAAGCATTCCCATTTCGCTCATCCCAAGAAGTTGGAAGGCATCACTACTCATCTCAGCTTCAAACAGCCCCATATTAGACATTGCAGCTGCAGCCTGGATCCACCATTTCAGCCAAACGCCACCAATCAACATTCCAGCTTCTGCAAAATAACCGTCACTCCACTCACTAGGGTCAGACTTTAAAGCTCCTGTTGCAGCCAGTAATGGAATAATATAAGAGGAAACCACCAAAACTAAACCCGCGAGCAACGCGTTTCGAAACGTTCTACTAGGGTCTTCAACCTCCCCTGCTAAAGTACTGACCTTATCCCAGTAATTAAGATTCCAAAACATGGTATTAAAGTACCCTCTCCATTCAACCTTTTTGAAATCGACAACAATCCACTGTCGTGGTTTGATCCTAGGAATCGAGAGAATCGCCATTACAACAAACGGAAAAAGGGAAAAACTTGCAAGCAAAACAGCTGAAGAACCAACAATATGGAGGCCTCTATAATTCAAGTACGTCAAAGAGACTGTAATTCCTAACAGGGCTGGAATTCTTGCAACCAAGTGATTAAAAACGGGCAACGAATGCTTCAAGTAATCGAGGAACAATACAGGGTAAAGAGCATTATCCATGACACCACTAAACCATTTCCAAAAGCCTTCTTGAAAGCCCCAGAAAGGGCCAAAAGCAGAAGATATCCAAATGACATAGCCACCATTTTCAGGGAAACTTGTGGCTAACTCAGCTGTGATTAGTGCTTCAGGTATACTCCAAATTAAAGCCAAAATCACGAAACCAAGCAAAGCTAACAAAGGGCCACCTCCTGCTTTAACTGAATCTTCTACACCAAAAGGCCCCCCTGAAACTTCATAGAAAATCAAAGCAATAAGAGGCAATAAAGTTAGTTTTGGATTTTTCTTGTTAGTTGCACTACTGTTCTTGACATCATTCACCATTCCCTCTGAATGATTAACATAAGATGGGAAGGAGAAAACAAGGGAGAGAAAAAGTCAACCCCAAGATTGCAGATCCTAATTCCATGGAAAGTATTTGGGTGCTACATAGCATGTGTAAAGAGTTAATTCCTTAAGTATTATTATGGTCATCCAAGTATTTGTGAATTACCTACTAAAGTTACTTTTATTTATTTTAGGACAATAAAATCACTCACATTTGATTTTGTGAGAGACGTCACTTCTCCGGTGGCGGCTAAATAAAACGCTTTGTAGGATAACTCTCTATTGGGTGATTTTGTTGTTCTAAAATAAACAAAAGTGACTTTAGTATATAATTTTTAATATTCGTAAAATGAATGATGCACTAAAAAGATAAGATTTCCTTGCATATTATGTATTTGTGTTAGGGATAAGAGAGAGATTTAGTTAAAGTTCAAGATCGTAAGTTTACTGTTAATAAATATTTTCCTATATCATACCGGTACATGTTTTACTTCATTTCTTTGAGGTTTGTCCTAAATTCTAACAAGACTAAGCAATGTTGTTTATAGGAATATTGTACATGTTATAACTACTTGCATATTTTGTCTAATGGCAGGTGAAGATGTACATTTTATTTTGGTGTCTTCAGTTTGTTACATTTCATGGACAATCCGTTAGGACGGAGGTATAATTTTTAAAAGTTTGTAAATAATAGAGATTTATCAAGTCGGATAGTATAATAACTAGGATAAATTTGATCGAATAATATTATAGAAGTTAAATGTAAAAAATATCCGAAAGTAAAAGAGTAATTTTAGCCCTTTTCCCTTCATAAAACATCCTCTCCCTTTTTTTTTCTTCTTGAATTACTGACAGGAAGAAGTGGACAGAGTTACATATTGAGAAATGTGTCATGCACGTGCTTTGCAGAAAGGAACGGGTCTTTGTCTTTGTTTGGTGAGCCACAACTTGCTTCTTGTCTTGACTTGCTTGCAGACACAATATACTATGGTATTTAGCTAGCATTTGGTTATAGATTTTAAAATTTATTTTAAAAAGTCTGTTTTGGGTAAAGTTCGGTTCGAAAATAAAAATATGTTTGGACATCAATTTTAAAAATATATTTCCCACTTTAGAAAAACATGAAACATGACTTATACCACAAGTTCTAAAAACTATCACAAATACCCAACAATATCATTATCAATAACATTCATTATATTATCGCAAACCATAGTACTGAACATAAATAAATTTGGTGCAAAATTATCATTTTTATAATGAACGACATGATACACTATCAGATGAACAAGAAGAACGAAGCAACATTATTACAAAATGTAATAAATGGTGGGCTCTTTTCTAAATAACATAAGTTTGGAGCTTTTAAAAAATGTAATAGTGATATTTTGGCCCAAAATTTGGAATTTTGTCAAAATGTAAGCAAAATATATGGCCAACAAGTGTTCGCCAAATAAAATCTAAATTTATTTTAGCAAAATCTATGGCCAAACGGGTACTTAAGCCAAATTTCCTCTTTGACTTCTATAAATTGAACATTTACACTCGACAATGTATCTCCTTTCCTGTGTCTTTTTACAGACAGCGACAGGAAAGTGCACGAATGATATTCCCAATATCTCCGTTATTTCAGATTTTTTTTTTTTTATATATTTCTATCACTAAATGCCATTGAAATTTTGGAAAAGTTGCAGATCTCCTTGGGAGAAGCGCACAATTTCTCGTTGTCAACAATTTCAATAGTTTTTTGTTAACGAAGTTATTAGTAATAGCTCTAACATATACTCCCTCCGGTACAAATAAGTAATTTTTTTAGCTGTTTTCACACAGATTAAGAAATTCACCTTTTAGCATTAATTAGTAATGAAATTGACCATATTAACATTTACTATCTTTTAACATAAATACTCCTAACACATACTCCAACACTATTTACTCCAAGGGCAATGTAGGAAAAAAATAATTAATTCGTTCTTGAAATCTGAAAAAATCACTTATTTTGGACCATAAAAAATCACTTATTTTGAATCACAAAAAATCACTTATTTTGGACCGGAGGGAGTACTACCTCCGTTCCAGTTTATGTAAACCTATTTCCTTTTTGATCCGTTCTAAAAAAAATGACCCATTTCTAAATTTGGAAACAATTTAGCTTAAACTTCCAATTCTACCCTTAACGAGAAGGGTTTATACCCACTGAACCACACAAATACTCGGGAGATTTGCATCTATACCCGCTTTTTGGGTTACGTTTTAACTTGTGCCCGCTTTGCAAAAAAAATTGCAAGCGTACCCACTTTTTCGCGTAACTTCAGCATACGGGGCTGAAGTAGCAAAGGCAATCACCAAAACTTAAGCATTCTAGTAGACGGGCCTGAAGTAGCAAAGGCAATACGCTGAAGTTTTTTTGTCCTAAATAAGATGCTGAAGTTATTTAATTCATTTGTAAAAATTCAACAATAAAATAGCTGAAGTTTTTTTTGTCCTAGATTCATTAGTTTTGTCATAAAACTTTTTCAAAAACTTCAGCAGAAGATGCTGAAATTATTTAGTTCATTTGTAAAAACTTCAGCACTAAAATAGCTGAAGTTTTTTGTCCTGGATTCATTAGTTTTGTCATAAAGCTTTCTCAAAAATTTCAACAGAAGATGCTGAAGTTATTTAGTTCATTTGTAAAAACTTCAGCACTATATAAGCTGAAGTTTTTGAAAAAGCTTTCTAACATACTAAATAAATAATCACCTTATTTTTTCATAGTGTATTACTACTATAAAATAATCAGATTGCCAACAATATTTAAATTATAAATTTTGGAAACAATAAACGTGAAAAGAACAGAATTACGTAGAAATATTCACAAATTATTGTCTACTAACTTACGTAATTATTTATAATTTATTTTTAAATAATCTGATAAACATACTTATGGCAATCATCCCATAAACTGAAGTTTCATAGCAGCACCAACAGCAGCAGAAGAAAGAAGAAGAAGAAAACGAAGGAGGAGGAGGAGAAAGGGGGCTGGAGTTGTTTAAAAAATGGTTACAAGTTAAAAAATTTTAAAAAAGTGGGTATAGGTTAAACGGAGGCGACCAAATAGGGCGCCCCGTGCAATTTTTACCAAATACTCTGGGCCCCTTTTTGACTTGTTTAGGACCACAAATTCCAAAAATATTCATTTTTTCTTAAACTCCGTGCCTAGTCAAACATGGTCACATAAATTGGAAGGGAGGGAGTAAGATTTTGCACCTAAGATCATTTTGTGATTTCTTTCCCTGCATCATCTATGTTGACAGACATGAGCGAAGGCTCTTACATTTTATAAATCACACTGACTTGAATGCTGGAATCCGGAGCTCTTCAATGCTGTTTCTTTATCTTTTTGAAATCATGGAGATGATTATCATATCCCACACAAGTGCACTTGATAACCTCTTTTTTGAGTCATTTTTCCATTACTTTTTACAAAGATGTCTGAGAATAGAGCGTAGCCCAATTTTACCAGCAAAACCACAGTTCTCAACTGTAATCCTTTGTCTCCAGACGTATCTTACACTGTCCCATTCTTACTCCAGTTTCCCTGTGATCGATGCGTCATGGGGTAAAACACGTTGAATCACACTATTCCAAGATGAAAGCCTCCATTGGCACTTGGCAGAAGAATGTATATAACCGCTGGCTACTCGTGTTATTGTACAAGTTTTCACCTTTGAACTTCAAAAGCACTCGGACAATTTTTCCAGCTATAGTTTCCAAAACTAGCTTTACCAATAGCCTTCGCGTACTACCTGTCAATAATAATTTGGTTCGGATGGTAACCTTAGGGGAACTTATTTGTCCTTAGTTTTACGCTCACAACAGCTTTGCTGTAATGGATTTTAAAACGTGATACCATTTATTGATTTAACTGCTAACAATTCAATGAAGCAAAAAGGTATTCAGATGCTCCTGAATCTTATCTGCATGCATACAACGGGTGGTTCCTACTTCCTCGCAATTCCAGAAACTGCATTACTGACCTGGCAGGCTATGAAGATCAAGAAAGTACACAGTCAGAGACGATGCATTTTTCTGGTCTTGGTGTTTAGAAAGGAATCAAAGATGTTTTGAAGGGAAAGCAACACCCATCACTTTCGTAAAGTTCAGATGTATCCACTGAAACTTTTGCTTACTGACGCTAACTTCTTGGTGCTCCATCTATTCAGCAAACTATTTCGCTTACATATCAAAACGTCAATATCTAAGATAAAGATGCCATGATCCAAAATAAATTCTCTCTTAACCCATTTTCCTATGGGAGAAATCAGTTGAAGAACAGCCTAATATCACAAGCATCAAAGAGAAGAGGGAATGATTAGTTCCCAGAAGTAGAACCCTCTGCTCTGTTATCTGTAATTTCTATACACTCCGCTGCTCGTAAAGGTGGAGGTTCATTAAACTTTAGTACGTAGGCAGTGAAATGAACAGACTGCAATGGCATAATTGCTTGAGCATCTAAATATGCATTGCAGGAGAAACACCATACTGATAGATCACTGCTCCAGAAAAAGGAAAAGGAAATTCCAGTAAAAACGTACATCTTTAGCTCAAACATGTGCTTATTCAATGAATCGACAAAAAGTAGTGTTGTGTTGTCAGAGAAGTTACCTAAAGCTGAGTGCAATAGAGTGATTGCTCTGCTTGTAATGCTCAAGCATGTGCTTATTAACAAATCGACTGCAAAGCACCTCCTTGCAGCACAAACATAGCCAGTTCTCTGCTGGGTGTTGACACCTTACAAAAAGATTTTCACACTATGTCACCAAATTCCTTTGCTTTGAAAAACAATATCCATTTAGCTAACTCAAGCCGGCATAGAAGGTTTAATAGTAAAGTCAGCCGTAGAATATAAAAACTAGTCTTTCCCGAGATTGGAATAACTACGTGATTATCATACAGATAGATGGAAGTCTATAAATACATGCTACTACACCTCTATGCACTATCAGAAAAGCCAAGCAATTGTATGGGCTATTAATTCCAATATATAGAGTTAAAAACCAACAGAATTGAGAGTGACTAGCCATTACTTTCCTTAATAATCTAGTGAGTATGAAATAATACACAAAATGGAAAAATTACCTTTTAAGGATATTAATCTAAAAACTTTAGAGGAGCAAAAATGTTATTTTTTTCTAAAAGAAGATGAAGTCACATATGCTTCATCAACCTTGAAACAAGTCCATACTTCTTCTGTGTCCACGTCTTTGGGCTTCTCAAATAGAGAAATGGTCTAGAACCAAAGGAAGACTGTTGCAGCACCTATTTATCTATTTTGTTCGGACTCTTCAAAAATGATGACAGGTGCGTGTCGGATCCTCCAAAAGTAGTACAATTTTAAAGGATCCGACACTGGTGCGGCAATATTTTTCGAGAGTCTGAGCAACAAAGCCTATTATGGGGTACTTGAAACGGTGAAATGTAGCAACATTTTTAGACATGACATTTCAATTCGTGATACTTTAATCTGGATATAAATTTTGAGTAGCTAAACATTGAAAATCTAATAGCCTTAAAATTGTTTATTACTATTACTTACAGCATAGAGCAATTATAACATACATTAACCTCATTAAAAACTCAAAATAGAAGGAAAATGAAATAAAAAAGAGACAAATGATAGGAAGAAACATAATGAAATTATGGTATGACATGTACTGGATTCTATAAGTTCAAAAGAGATTAGGGCGTAGGAAGATGAACCTGTTGCAAGGAGTGTCTGGAGTTGGAATGTGAGCGAGATCGGACGATAAAGAGGTCAGGTGATCACAGTGACTTAGGGGCTCAACCCAACCAGATTCAGACCCATAGAGCATCAGTATCTCATCTTCTGCATCAACGGGAAATGAAGTCGATGAAGAAGCTTCATTAGCCATGGATCAACTGTGGACAAATTATGATGTGTTAGCCACATTTCTGAAAGGAACCACACAAAGTTGAAATATCCTTTCGCATCAGATATGCTATATGAAAAAGGATTTTGAAAATCAAGGATGTGAAACGATTGGCATGTAAAATCTTGTCTGAGTAAAATGATTATTAGTTGGCAAAGATTAAGATACCAATCAACTTAATAGTTGAATGACATAAGCTTATAAAGATTTAGTAATTAAAAAGAAGAGAAAACAAAAGAGTAGAAAAACATTGAGACAACAGCACCACGACATGACAAAGTTAAGTTAAGCCATCCAAAGCAACTACACTTACAAGCCCAAATGTAATACCAATAAGAATTTATGAATGCACAGTGCTAAAATATAAAGAGTAAATGCAACAAAAATTGAAACACAGATAAACAAATATAAGTTCAGAAGGAGTTCGATCAAATGACCCCCCCCCCCCCCCGAATATACAAACGGTTACAAAGTGTTTAATTTGGTGCTATCAAATTAAGAAAGATGCAAACTCAGAGCAGCCTTTCAAACATATTCACTAAGCTGAACCATCTAAAATTTTCAATAGAATGTCACTCATGTCCTCGGAATCAAGTAAATAGCGTTTTAATCATCTATTCATAAATGATACTAGAGTAATACTTCTGTGATAGGACAATTCATTACACTAATTCATTCCTCTTGAAGTTCATAATCGGATCCCACACATGTTAGCACATTTACGAATTACGCCCATTCCCCTTTTACAATCAATCATCAGTAGCTTAATCTCAAACCAATTGGGATCAACCGTATGAGTTATTTTGTAACAATTATGCACTATTTCTATTTGGGCCTATTCATTCCAATACCAAAATAATTTGCCTCAAATCAGGAGTGTTCTAAAAGAAAAGGTTTAAGTTTAACAATACCCAAATAAATAAAAATCAAGTAGAGCTTGACGTGCAAAAATCAATTGAAAAGGGGTTAAGGATTTAGATTCACAAGAGATGGGAAGATGGACAGATACCTCAGACGAACTATTTCGCTGTGGTGTCAAGGGAGTAGCGATGAAGTTGAAACTGGCCGAAATCACCTTGCGATTTGGGCCCAGATACTATATATACCGCTCTAAAAAATAATCAAAAAATATATTTTTGTATATTATTATATAATATATATTTAATCGATGCATACTTTTTGTATATTTGACTAATCGATGCAATTATTTTTGGCCGACCGGCTAAATATATAACTTCACCATTGTTTGAAAAACAAAAGGGTGTTTTTGGGGCATTTGCATCTATACCCGCTTTTTGTGCCACATTTTAACCTGTGCCCGTTTTGCAAAAAAAATTGCAAGCATACCCGCTTTTTCACATAACTTCAGCATGCGGGGCTGAAGTAGCAAAGGCAATCACACAAAACTTCAGCATTTTAGTAGCCGGACCTGAAGTTCAGCTCTAGAACTGAAGTTTTTGTTTTGTAACTCGCGAACTTCAGCTTTAGAGCTGAAGTTTTATTTTATAAGTTTTTGTTTAGTAACCGGAAACTTCAGCTCTAGAGCTGAAGTTTGCCAATTATAAAATAAAAACTTCAGCTCTAGAGCTGAAGTTTTATTTTATAAGTTTTTGTTTAGTAACCGGGAAACTTCAGCTCTCTGAAGTTTTTGTTAAGTAACCGGGAAACTTCAGCTCTAGAGCTGAAGTTTTTGTCTTTGTAACCGGAAAACTTCAGCTATAGAGCTGAAGTTATTTAGTTCATTGTATGTTTACTACCCCAAATAACACTCTTTTCACATAACTTCAGCCATAGTTCTATTTAATTACTACTAATTATTTCCCCACAAACTACAGAACCTTCAATTTACTACATTATCAACAACTGTAGTATTCTACGCAAGACAAAGAAGAAAGAAGAAGATGCGTTCTGTGAAGGAGAAAGTAAGCAACGCAGTGGAGAAAGCAGCAGCAAGGACAAAGGAAGAGGTAAGCAACGCAGCGGAGAAAGGAAGCTGATATTTTTTAAAAAGTGGGGTACAAGTTAAAAGTTTTTAAAAAAATGGGTATAGGTTAAATGGTGGCGACCAAATAGGACGCCCCGTGCAATTTCTATATTTTTTTCACTTTCAGCCCGTGCAAAAAACTATTTACATTTTATAGCCAAAAAAGTATAAAATTTGTTTAATTTTTATATATAACATACAGAAAAGTTTAATTTTATAGCCGATATTGTTTAATTTTTATAGCCAAAAAAGTTTACATATATATATATATATANTCATATATAATTTATATATATATATATATATATATATATATATCATATTATTGTTGGTCTCAAATTTTTATCTAAAAAATAAACTCTGAACAGAACTTGTTTATTGATCAGATTGCACTAGATAGCATGACTAATTTCTGCCAAAATTATACATCTTGAAGATATAAATTTTAATATCAGAACAAACTTCATTTTTCATATAATAATCCAACTAAAATATATAATTGTTCAAAAAGAATTGCATATTTCAAATAAAAAAAATAATTAGATTTGGTGCGACAAACTAAGAATTACTATGAAATTGTCCCCTTTATTTTACCACTTTTGTTTTGTGTCCTTTAGATATTGGCCGAGAATTCTATTTTTTACGTTTGATCATCAAATTCTTCTAGTTATTTTTCACTTTTTGTGTCTTCCTGTGATTAAAAATTAGATGGACTCATGTTTGAAGTTTATGTTCCTTCCTTGAGTTTTCAAGTCTCTAAATTTCAAGCAAATTCATGAGATATTAGAGAAGGATGACATTTTCTAGAAATAACTTTTTTCTTTCTTTTCTTTTTAAGCTTCGATCATATTAAACCTCAACTAACTATATCCTAGATCTTTAAACAAAATGAATTATTAGAGAATAGAAGTAAAGAGCCTTTGTTTTGAGAAGAGCCTTTGTTTTACGTACGCTTATTCTATTTTCAAGTTTTGATCATCCTAAATCTCAATTAGCCACGTTAAAAAAAAAAAGAGAGAGTTAAGGGGGAATTCTTATTTTTAATGTGTACTTTCTCTAATTTTACTTAGAATCTTTAGATTATTGGAGTTCAAAAGTTTACTCTAGCATCAAAAAGAACAACTTTACATTTTATCTATGCAAGATTAGTTGGCTATGTTACACAAAGTTTACTATCTTTTCTATTCTATTTTTGTGTATTTTACAATTAAAATTTCTACGACGTTATAAGTCCCATTTCTTTTTTGTTAAACTTCATCAGTAAATATTTTTAGCAAGTATAAATTAGAATTTACTTCTTTAACTTTTTGGTAATTCAGTGAGAAAACCTATTTGACTTCTAGTACAACTCTGGGTACGCTCGAGGACGAGCGTTTATTTAAGTTCGGGAGGATGTGACGACCCGACCCGTCGTCTCATGTGTTACTGCTTCGTTTCCCCCATTTTTATACTTCTTCATGTTTCGTTATCGGTATGTGGTGTGTTAGAGTTGTTTCGGATTGGTTTTGATAAGAAATGAGACACTTAGTCTCTTTAAGGAAGGTTTAAGTTGGAAAAGTCAACCGGACGTTGACTTATGAGTTATAGGACTCGGAAGTGATTTTCGGTGATTTGGTTAGCTTTGGGGGATGATTTGTGACTTAGGAGTGCGATCGGAATTGATTTTGGAGGTCCGGTGTAGAATTAGACTTGAATTGGCGAAGTTAGTATTTTGGCAAATTCCGGTTGATAGGTGAGATTTTGATCCGAGGGTCGGAATGGAATTCCGAGAGTTGCTGTAGCTTCGATATGTGATTTGTGATGTGTGTGCCAAATTTCAGGTCATTCGGACGTCGTTTGGTTGGGTTTTTGATCGAAAGAGCATTTCGGAAGTTTTTAAAGAACTTAGGCTTGAATCCGATGAGAATTGATGATTTTAGTGTTGTTTGATGTGTTTTGATGATTGGAACAAGTTTGGATAATGTTTTAAGTCATGTTGGTGCTTTTGGTTGAGGTCGCGGGGGCCTCGGGGTGATTTCGGATGGCTAACGAGATGAAATTTGGATTTGGAGACTTCAAATGTTGCTGCTTCTGGTATTTCTGCTTCTGCAGAATTTGGACCACAGAAGCGAGGCCGCTTAAGCGATGGTTTGATCGCAGAAGCGAAAGTTATGTAGGGGCATTATTTCCGCAGAAGCGGTTGTGAAGTCGCGTCTGCGAAGCTGCAGATGCAGAGTTTTCTTCGCAGAAGCGGGCTTATGGATTTTGGGATTTTCCGTAAAAGCGGAAGAAGGCCGCATAAGCGGAAGTCGCAGAAGCGACGTTGGGACCGCAGAAGCGGATTCTGCTGGATAGAAGTATTTAATTCATCTTCGCGAAATTTTGAAAGGGTAACACATTTCACTTCGGACTTTGAGAGTTCTTGGGCAATTTTGAAGAGGGTTTCGAGGGCTTTAATCAGGTATGGACTCTTGGACTTAGAATTTGATTTTATGGTGTATAAACATGGATTTAGACTGAATAATCAAGGAATCGGGCTTGAACTTAAGAGAGTTTAAAATAGGGATTTGAGGGGTCAAATGAACTCCGATTTTGGTAAATTTGATATGTATGGACTCGTGGCGAGACGAGGAATTCGGTGATGTGAATTTTATAATTTTTCGAGAAGTGGGCCCGGGGCTCGGGTTTTGCTAGTTTCAATATTTTTGCTAATTTTCGATTATTTTCGATCGGGTATTGTTCCATTGGCATATTGTGATGTATTCGCTCTGATTTTGGTTAGATTCGACGCGCGTGGAGGCTGATTTGAGGTCAAAGGCGTCGCGGGCTAGAGATTTCGCCGGTTCGAGGTGAGTAATACTTGTAAATGATATTCTGAGGGTTTGAAACCCCGGATTTGCACATCATAGTGCTGTACTGTGGTGACTTGCACACCAGGTATGAGCGTGGGGTAGAGCACCGTTGGGGATTGTGACTTGGTCCGTCCCGGTTGTTGATCTTACTGCGTAATTGACTGAAACTTACTTGATGCTATCATGATTTGGGCTGAATGCCATGTTTTGGGCTTCGTGCCGATTGTTTGAATCCTTCAGGGATTGACATCACTGTTTTTGCATTACTTTGCATATTATTTTGATCTCGATCCCAGGTTTTAAATACTGTTTCGCAAACTCAGCCATTTTTCTAAGATTTGAAAACTTAAACAATATATTATTGACGTTTTGAGCTGAGAACTGTTATTTTAATATTGCCCAAGTGGCTTATGTGCATTTTTGGACTGAGGATGGATCGGGCTGCACGCCGCAGCGGTGTGATATTGATATTGCGCTTGGGCTGTAGGAGCCCCTCCGGAGTCTGAACCCCCACAGTGAGCGCGGGTACCCAAATGGATCGGGCTGCGCGCCGCAGCGGTCATGTGCATTGCATTGCATTCATGCATTGGTTCCTGTTTGTACTATGTGGCATGACATTCGGCACTCTCATATCATTGGCATCCATGCTATTTCTTGCACTGTTTACCAGATACCCTGGTGTTATTTGTTAATGGAGTGCTGTGCCCGAGGGGCTAACTTGTGTGCGGACTCTCACTATCTGATTAGGCATTCATTTGCTTGACTGTTGGAAAAGGATATTTTTAAAAGAGGTTTTTAACTGAGCCAGATATTTTCTAAAGGATTTTCACGGTTTTACTATTTTCTCAGAGGGTTGTACTGTTCTATATAGCATGATGGAGTGCTCTTACGTGATTTCTTGCTGCTCAGTTATTATTTACCTTTATTACTCACTGAGTTGGAGTACTCACTTTACTCCATGCACCTCACGTGCAGTTGCAGGTATTGTTCACCCGGTAGCAGATTTTGAGCTGATTGAAGGTATCACTATTGTTGCGGAGTAAGGTGACCGCCAGCGTCCGCGACACCGGATTTTCCTTCTTTGATTTAAAATTTGATCCATGTATATTACAGACTCTGTAGTTGTGTTCAGGCTTCTTTAGATGCTCGTGACTTGTGACACCCCGGTCGGGCTGTGTTGGGTTGTAAATACTGTTAATTAATGTCATTTAGGCGTATTTTGCTATTCATTCATGCTTAATTACTTTGAAAGAAACGAATTGGGGTAGTTGGCTGACCTTG